AGAGACCTTCATCAGAATGTTCTGTGGCCATGGTCTCCGATGACTACTCGTGTTTTACTCCCTCATTTTCATTTCACTCTCTCATTTTCATCCAAAGAATAACGGCTGCTATATTTCAAATCTCGAAACCACTATTCAGCCCAGAAACACGCCTCAAAGAAAGGAGTCGGGAGCAAGACCCAGCAGAGCAAGGTGTGGATTACTGAATTCATTACTAAGCTGTCTGGCCCACTAACCAACCACAACATGTGCCTGAGGAGTGAACGAAGAAACGCATAGCTCCTAGTCCAGCTCGCACAAATCTGTTCAGCCCCACTCCGTGAACAAGGTACACTTCATCACCCGGCAAGAGAAGGGCATGGCTGCGTGCCTTACTTCAACGTCGCTCTTTCTGCTCTTCTTACGGGATATTGTCTTTTGGAGCAGCTGTAATCATACGCACTTCTTTGAAACGTATTTCTGGGCGAATAGAGTGATATAATCCAAAACAGAATGACTGCTGTCTGGAACGGAAAAATCCCGATCATCCCGCAATGGGCCCCTCGTCACGCAATGGAATTGCGTAACCACACCCTCTCCATCTCGGTGATACGAAGTGTGGGAGTGACTTCGTGAAAGATGCAATTTTGGCGAAAAACATCGCGGCAAAGTTCTGTGAGCCGACCGGTGAAGTACTTCTGGGCAGTTCTGAAGAATGTGGTGTACGCGGGCTACTGTCCCTGAACAAGTGACCAGCAGGATCGAGTACTGTTTGAGGAATCTCGACACGAGCCTTCTTCAGTGTCTCAACTAGTCGACTGTGAAAAGAGTGAAAAGACTTCACAAAGTCCGACGAAATAACTTGGAAGCAACAACCACTGGTGGGAAACGCCTGACACGGACGATATGATACACTCTTGTCCCTTGCTCGCTTCACCAGCTGGTGGCGCACCAAACCCCTCCCTTTTTTGACACACCCCATCACCCACAGCAATCAAGACTCTCATGCTCGCCTTGCTGTTGCAACAGCAACGAGATGCGGCTTCTTTAAACTTTCGCAAACTCTTTTTTCCATAGTGATAAAATGTGCAAAGAAGTAGAATATAAAACTTTATTTTATGTTTCTTTTACTTGATTATGAACTCCATTTTCAGGAGTCGTTTGCCTAGCTGCCATCATTATATTCATTCGAGAGCCAGAACGGGGTGCAGCTGAACGAGAAATGGGTGAAATCGCCACTGATGTTACGCCCAGCAGTTATACTGATGATATCAGAAGCCTCCTTTCAAAGTGAGTTCTCTAAGGTCGCTTCGTTCTGTAGTAACTGTAATAATACGAAGATGGTGGTTGAACCGAGGACGTGACTTTACCCTCGGCAAAAACTTTATTTTTCCTACACAGCTAGGAACTTGGGTTAATTTAGGAACAAGAGATTTCTGGGAACGAAAAGGAAATCTCACTGTTTTTATTACACACACCATAATCGAAAAACTGTACCGATAACCTGAAGAACTTGATGTGAAAAATCAAGCTCTTCACCCTAATGGCATGCGTTAGGCATGGGTGGGTAGGGCATGATAAGTGTGACGCCGCGTGTAAACTAACCAGTCGCCTCGCCGGCTGACGCCGGCGCGGCTCCTTCTGATACGGCCCGGCTGCGCCGGGCGGGCGCGGCTTCGCCGCGCGTGCTTTCTTTCACATATTTCTAGATTCAACTGATATCCCCTTTTGTTTTCTAGATTCTACTGATATCCCCTCCACTTTTGCGGTGTCTGAAGTACTCTTGAGCGATTTTACAAATTCTTCGTCCGACTCCGCCCACCTCGGAGCAGGCCCCGCCCACAATGTTTGTGCACCACAATTCTCATCGTGCGGACACCTCTTTCGTGACCTTTAACTCCGCTTTTTCCGCGCTCTTTCGTGCTCTGGAAGCCGTTTCACAGACTTTTTTGCTCTGGCTCCGCCCACCTCGCGAGGCGGCCTCGCCCCACCAATGCTCTCCCCATACCTCCTCTCCCTCTGCTGAACCTTAATCCCTTTTTCCGCCCGGCCCCCCCGTGGTGCCTCGCTCGCTCTCTCTTTCTAGGAGAATTTTGTCGGCTCGCGCCCATCTCGAGGCAGAACTCCGCCCCAGTTTTTGCGGGCCGCCACATGTTTTACACCGACGACCCCGCTTGCTGAAACTTTAATCCACTTTTTTTCCGGTATCTGGAGTGTTCTGGAACCGGGCTACAAACTTTTAAAATGAATACCCTGCGATTTAGGGCAAGCTCCGCCCACTGTGGGCGGGTCTCAACACACTTTGAGGCGTCGTGCTGTATGTTCGCCGGATATTTACATTCTACACTGAGTTTTTTTGCGACTTGCAAACACTTTCGCGAACCGGGTTACTGAATTTTGCGAGATAAGCCACGCCCGCCACTTGAGTACGCCCACGCCCATTTTGGATTGTTGTCTGCCACTATTGAGATCTGGCGACTCCTTACTAACCTTATTCCCTTTTTCCCCATCTTTAGGCTGCCCCGGAAGCGAATTATGAACATTTTTGTGCGGAACCCCAAACTTTCGGGGGTGCCCCGCCCACTGCGGGGCACTCCCGAAAGTTCCCTTAGTTCAAGTCTGCTTTTTACTTTCTTGTTCCCACGGCGCCCACTACCCATCCCCACCTGGCCTTACCCGTCTCCAAGTCGTCTTCAGGTGCGACCGCATTTCCGGGACAGACAAAACTTACAAACACACAACAAACAAAACAGAACGAGACAAAGCGAATTATATATATATATGGGGTGATCTTCCAGACAAGCCAGCTTAACCACTCCCTTGGTAGCGATTCATGTCGCTTTTGTTATAAGACGACTCCGCGCCTCACTGTCGCGCAATCGCGAAGTCAGTACGCTGCCATGGTGTCCAGCAGCTCCCACTTGTCATCTTTTCTCCTTTCGCACGCCGTAAATTGCGGTTTTTGATCCACGTTAACTTAGGACACAGAGATCTTGTCCGGGCAGATACTTCACTCCTCGGGTGAGTTGCTACATACTCGAGGATCCACATGCCCACCAACTCTCGGCCGTTCTGTTTCTCCCGTAAATGGGACGATATGATTGTTCTACCGACTCAGTAATTAACCAATTACCCCTGCGATTCCCTTTTCTCTACATCACTGTCAGCGTTCTTCTACTAAATGCATAACGCGGTTGGAGGCTTCGGTAACTGGAGACCTATGCAGCTATAGGACGCCTTAGCGGCTAATTGAGGGTTGCCTACGTTACGATGAGCGTAAGCTAGAGGTACTTCTAGAACCATTCCACAAGAACAGCGGACAGTAAGACTCTCAGGGTTGTAAGCCCCCACAACATATAGTCAGGATCCCTGCAAATGACAGGGCCTGTGCGGGACGAGGGTCCCCTCCTACTAATTGTAGCGGGCTCAGGAAGGCATAACTACTAAAAAGGACCACCCGAGGCAGTTCAGGCGACGGGAGTAGGGCATTTTGCACTTTTGCCACTTCCCATCGACGTGTCGACCCATCTAGACAGCCTCTTCTCGAGTTGACAGGTTTTACCATGATGGCTTGACGACCTTGTTCCAGCTTCACAAGAGTTCACAGTACCAGAGTGAGACTTGAAAACTGGAATTAGTGAAGGAGAAAAAGTGCGAAATGCCCTCCCCCGTCGCCGAACTGCTTCAGACCACCCTAGCTTTGCTCCAACACACGCCCCGTCACATGTTTCTGTTGTTGTCCTAGGCATCATGGCTGTACTATTCCACTGAGGGTTGCCGTGCGCTGCGTGGGACGGCGCGCTTCAGCCACACTGCTAGAGGGGAATAGTCTGGCAAAATAACAAGAACTCATAGGTGAATGGTTTGACCCTAGCTGTGTCACCGATGGGAAAGCCGGGCCAGAGACGAGACCCAGGGCACAGCATTCGATGGGGATTCCCTATGGGGGGTCGTATTTGGCCGCCAAAAGGGGGGGAGGAGGCGGGTCATATTTGGGCGGCATGGCGGAAAAATTTTATTTATCAGTTTGATTGTTTCTCGGCTTTGCGGGGACGTTTTTGGAAGGAGGGGTATACTTTTGGCCGTCTTGTTTGGGGGGGGTTGTATTTCTGGCTAGGAGTTACGTGGTTCACTTCATGAGTTTTATGAATTTTCTGTGTTATAGGTACTATGTACGCCCGTACGATGTACGTCGCATGCCTACTAATATATCACTCCCTCGCCTCGACCACTTTTCGTTGCTTTTTTACTCAGTGTAAAGACCACGACGCGCTCCAGACGATCAGCATTCATGTCATAAGCATGCGACGTACATCGTACGAAGAACGAGTCGTACAGACCTGCCAAATGGGGCGAGGGGGGGTCGTTGTAAAGGCTCGACCAAAATCCCCATCGAATGCTGTGCCTTGACGAGACAGTAAGCAACAGTTCAGTAGCACGGCGAAAGGCGACTGCTGGGGCCATGAGCGAAGGGAGATTTAGTGAGGACCTATCACGTGGTTCCAAGAACTTCCATGAGTAGTGAACGTGAGACTGGTGGTGCTGGCGATTAGAGTACGGTTCCCTACAGCGCAATACAACAAAGTCAAGATCCTATTCAAGTCACTGTTAGACTGCGACGCGCAGCAAAGATTTTCTTAAGCAACGGGAAATGGTTAGACATTTACCATGTTATTGGTGCATACTTGTCTATCTCGACCATACAACTAAAAAATCGAGTCATTTAGCGGCGCGAGTCGCTTGCACGACGCGCATTGGGTGGCGAATACAGGTCTGCTTGCCACATACCCGTCATGACTGTGGGTGGAACTCCGCTACTCCGTCGCCACGCCGCGCATTTATAGACACTGGCCACTCAGTACTCTTCAAGAAGCCCTTGATGGGATAACTCATGAGTTGTATGAGTTACATCCAAGGGACTTTTGAGCTTACATTTCAATGCAGTGCAGTTTCGACAAGGCCTGATAATTGCTAGACACTGATGCCCAAGTTCTTCGGCACTCTTGTGACAAAGTCGAACCACAGGCGAGAGTCGAACCCCACCACGATTTCCGCGGGCGAGTGCGCTTGTCCTTACGCCAGCAGGGCCGACTGTTTTACCATCCCATGGTCAGCGGTCACACGGACTTATACAGCCGCAGCAATGTACAGGAGACTTCCACGATTTAACATGAGGTGAGAGCGGTCAGCCGTAATGTCGATATCGAATGAACTAGGCACAGATAGGCTTTACAAGTTTTGAAGACTGTTTTATTTTCATGATAGTACCTAGTTTTACGCCGCAGTTCGGCGTAGTCTGTTGTACTTTTTGACTTATTTTAGCTCACCGTATGTCGTTTCTGCGAGTTGTGGTTACACGGGCTATCGTTTTTGTTGTTGGAGATACCACTTGAGTGGGCGCTCAACAGCTTGAGCAGTTGAACATACGACGCAGCAAAGCAGGGTTGAACAGTTACGGATGCTACTCAATCGACACAAAAGGCAACAGTCTCGGCTGAAGTCTTAGACTCCTCTAGCAATGGTTTTTCCGATCATAGTATTCTTCACCTGGATAGATTGAGAGTTTCAAGACAGCATAAATACTATCTCAAACTCATGATTCAATTCTCTGTGTTAGTCAAACTAACAATTCAAAGTGTGTAATCGCAGTTCTTAATTTTTTCAGAACGTGAAATATTGATATTTCGGTGCTGGACTTGTGTTGGCGGCCTAGCGAGTGTCGGTATAGGATCCCTACGCGCAGGTGTATGTGAGGTCCAATCACTTATTCACTCTCCATTTGATTCCCGTGCAACTTGATTGAAAACACCGATTGTCTGGCGCGTTTGTCGCGGGGGGTCGGGGCATTTTATTGTCAGCTATCACTGGTGCGCCAGATTACAGTGTAATGTCTTGACACTGGCGGAAACTGTGAACACTTGATTGCAGCTGGTGATAGTTCAAGTGATCTTGTTAAAGACCTTGTCAACTCGGAGAGAGGCTGTCCTGGAGACAGCCGACAAGTCGTGTAGGGAGGTAGCAAAAGGTACAAAATGCCACCTCGTACGATCAATTAACGACGCCCCATTGTCATTTAACAAGTAGATAGTGATAGCCAATAGTAATGGCTGCCGGTTCATACTCTGCGGCAGCTTCCACGACGGCTTCCAATGCGCGTTGTAGATTTCATCGTATTGGATCTACCAGCATATAACAGCGTATGTCAACGTCCACTAAGCGACCACCAGCCAAGAACTCGCGAGGAGAGGAAGTATAGGATATCGATTTACGTTTAGCAGCGATGCTGCGCTCTTA